CTAGAATGCCAAAGGTCTGCAATGCTGGAATTGCTGAAAATGGAGGATTATTTGACGAAAGCAAAGTTTGATGTAAAAAAAATCTTATTTCAAATACAAATCATTATTTCTAACCTTGTCAATGTCGACTCTATTCTCTATTCATTTCACAACGTATGGTGGTGAATAAGTGTGACTGTTCAGGAAAACAAAATATTGTTTGGGTGACCCCAAACTTTTGAACGGTAGTGTAAAAAGAATGCTTCTTGATAAAAAGATGTGAAGTATTTTTGACCTACCTTATCCTCACCTCTCCACATCAGTGCTGAATAGTTAGAGGGTAAAAATGTGAATGTACAACTCAGGTTAAAACGGGCTCCAATCGGATAACTCAAGTGCGCTAGAGGAAATATGTACACCTCGAGTTCAGAAGACTGTCCTATAGAAGGAAAAATACAACAACTTAGTTTATATATATATATATATATATATATATATATATATGTGTGTGTGTGTGTGTCCCAATTCAATCATAGATTAAATACAGTGCAGATAAATCCATTAAAAAAACATTAAAAAAAACACCTGATAATAGTATATTCTGCTGATAGCATTAAATCTCATAGACAAAGTTGGAAAATATTTTTCTAAGTACTTCTGATGAATCTATATTTTATGACCATTCAGACTCTTGTAAAATAAATACCATTTTACAAATGAGTGAATTTAGCAGAAATCAGTGCTTCAAATATCCTTTTCTCTTTTTAAATGCATTATTGATGAAAAAATAAAAATTCTCACCATCATTTGGAATCAAGAAGATCACACTTATCGCCAGCACCAACATGTCTGTACTTCTGTGTTTTAGTTGCTTCCTCTTGCTTTGAGCTTCTCAGAGTTTCTGATTCCCAGCAGTGTGCATAGACTTATAGGGCCTACACCAAAAGAAAAACTTACCTACCTAAGCTGTTGATAACCCGACAGGATGTGCATTTGCACATTTTCAGATGATGAAAGTTGTGATTAAGCAACAGCAGGAAAGGCTAAAGCTGATAAAGCCGATCAAAACACTGCCGGTGTTTTCAACCTGCAGACATTACATTACAACTTTAAGTAAACAAAACTGCACTTATCAAATTTGAAAAGATAAAAAAGCTCTAAAACTACAGCTGTAAATGTGTGGGGTAAATGTTCCATTATTGTTTTAAACAAAAAAAAAGGTATTCTGAATGGAAATGTGAAAAACAACATTATTAAAATTAGGGGGAAAAAATGCAATTCAGAAACAAAATATTGAAAAAACGCTTTATTTAAAGAGATTTAAAAGAAACTTTTTCCCTTTTTTTTTCAAATGTAATTTTCAAATTTTACCTTTAGCATTTTTTTTTTTTTTTTTTTACAGATTTTATATTTTTACATTTTTACCTTAAATTTCTGTTTTTCAATTTGGGTTTTTTCAAATGAATTTTGTTTTTCAAATTGCCGTTGACAGATCCCATTCGCTTTCCTTCAGGCCCAAAGCAAACATTTACACTTGCCAAATAAAAATTTTGTTACTAATGTCCATAGCATCTTCACTCCTCACTAAAGGAAAGTGTGTCCCAGAAGTGAAGAGAATGTGATCTGTACAATGCAAATTATAAAAATAATTGAATACTACAAAGTTTATCTCAAATAAAAATCAAAGAGTTTAATTTCTGGATCACATTTATTTTTTAGTTTTAAGTTACCAAAAAATGTGTTCCTTGCTTGCAAAAACAATTAAACAAAAATTAACTTCATATGAATACAACATTTTGTATAGATTTAGTTAATGAGCTTGTTTAAAACGTTGCCAGATATTCTCATCTACTTAAAAGAAAAACCTTCATAACCCTGTTTTTATCAAATTAAAGTCGTGGGAAAGTCATATTTAAATTTCCAATCACTCTGGCTTAAACATGTATATAATGCACTGTATATCAGACCATATTTTCCCAAAAGTTGGAAAATAATTTTAAAAAATCCTGTCTTAAAATCTGTGTTGTTTTTTCTCATTATCTTCTGCAGGCCAGTTAGTTCTACGTCAGCCTGAACACCTAAATTCGGCCAATCATATATCAATGGTCATCTGTCATCAAATTTTTTCGGACACAGCATCTTGATTCATATGTCGCAGCTCATATACGCAACGGTTGAAATCAGAATCTTTTCCTTTCCCATTGAGTTGCGTCCCAGTGTTCACGGGGATGGACGTCTGTGTCTTCAGCAGGCGTAGAGCTAACAGAACTGGCAGCGTTGCGAGGCAAGGGCTCAAACATGGACGGCTGGAAGCCTTCTACACCAAACCAAGCTTCTGCCGCCCTGGCGTCCTCTTCCACAACATCTTCGTTCCCGCTTTCCTCCTCTAAATAAAAAATGGATGACGGAGGAGACTCATCCACGACCTCCGACACTAAACTCTCCTCCTCTTGCATGTTTCCGCTGTTCATAGCGTTCCTTGACAGTGTCGTTTCTAAGTCACCAATTTAGTGCTACTTGGTCTCAATGGAATTTCCCTTTGGGAACTTAGTGCTAGTAGGTTGAAAAAATGAGCCACTGGTATAAACTCAAAAAAAAAAGAAGAAATCGTACTTCGGGTACTGGAGTTTCCCTCTGTCTTGGTTGTTTTTGGGCTATCTGACAGCTTGCTCACAACTCTGTTGTGCTTCTGATGATTAGAGAGTGTAGATACACCTGTCTCTCTTCTAATCACCCTCATCCCCACCCACCTTTTATTTTCCCCATTTAAACCTTCCTCTTACAGTCAGTCTCTGCCAAATTGTCTCTTTGCCTACACGAGCTTCCTTCCCAGTTTTTGTTCCCACCACTTAACCCTGTGTTCCTGTGCTCATCCTGCCCTTACTGGCTGGTTACTTCCTGAACTACCTCTCAGACTACCACCAGCCCCAAACCCCAAACAATTAGTAAAACATTGTAAAATTAGTCTATTATTTACAATTCCGAGATTTGTAGTCTACAAAATGTCTTATTCTAAATAAAACTGCAACATTTTTGCTATATTTGATTCCATTTAACTAATCTCTTGTTTCAGAGATAAGTTAAATGAAATCAAGATGGATTAAATCTATCATCCAATTTAAGACCAAGACATTTATTTTCAAAATCAACATCTTCAATAGTTATTTTCAGTTCATTGTTTTCATATTTATTGTATTTTCCAAATATCATCTATTTTGTTTTAGATAACTTAAGTGATCTTTTATTTTTTCCAAACTATAATTGTATTTTTCCACATTTTATCGGGGCCACTTCTAAAAGTTGTTGAAAGTTTTTTTCCTGTACAATAGATTTATTAATTTCATTGTTTTATTTTGTGGTATCTGTGTATGTGCCCTTTTCAGAGAGCACAAAGATACAGTTTATTTAATAATTGTGTTTTACAAACAGTAAAAATTCTAAGAATAATACGCCCACTGAGTCAAAAACAAAACAAAGCAAAAGTTGATTAGTTCCGAGTCTCCTTTCAGTTGATAGTTCCAGTGTCTTTTTTTAAAGATCTCTTTCTATCCTCAAAAACAGAACTGAACATTTTCATGACATAAATAATATAATTCTAGGATCACATATTTACAGAAGAGGATTAGGGCCACTGGAGAAAAAAAAAAGTTAAACTGATTTTTACATTTCATTTCAGTATAATACGAGAAAAAAAGTTAGAATTCTGACTTTAATCTAAGAATTCCGACTTTTTTCTCTCCCAATTCTGACTTTAATCTCAGAATTCTGACTTTTTTTCTCAGAATTCGGACTTTAATCTCAGAATTCTGACTTTTTTTCTCAGAATTCGGACTTTAATCTCAGAATTCAGACTTTTTCTCAGAATTCTGACTTTAATCTCAGAATTCCGACTGAATTCTGACAGGCTGACAAACATGTTAGCATTAAGCCATAGTCATGCCTGTTTAAGAGACTAAACTGAAACTCTTGTTTTAATCACCTTCTGCTCTTCCATTAATGAAATAGCATCACCGGTGACCCTTCGGACACCTAAAAAGTAGCCTAATTCTGTCATTTTCCACCAATGTGTTACAATGTGCTGCCAAATCTCTTCCTTCATGGTGCCCATTAAGATCCATAATTCTGAGATTAAAGTCAGAATTGTGAGATTAAAGTCAGAATTCTGAGAAAAAAAATCTGAATTTTGAGATTAAAGTCAGAATTCTGAGAAACAAAAAACTTTTCCGACATGGTTCTGACGTTTTCCTACGGAAGAGGATTAGGGCCACTGGAAAAAAAAAAAAAGTTAACTGATTTTTTAAATTTTATTTCAGTATAGTATGGGAAAAAAGTCAGAATTCTGACTTTAATGTCAGAATTCTGAGAAAAAAGTCAGAATTCTGACTTTAATCTCAGAATTCTGACAATAAAAAAAGTCAGAATTCTGAGATTAAAGTCAGAATTCTGAGAAAAAAGTCAGAATTCTGAGAAAAAAAGTCAGAATTCTGAGATTAAAGTCAGAATTCTGAGAAAAAAGTCAGAATTCTGACATTAAAGTCACAATTCTGACTTTTTTTCCCATACTATACTGAAATAAAATTAAAAAAATCAGTTAACTTTTTTTTTTTTTCCAGTGGCCCTAATCCTCTTCCGTATTTTCCCCATTTTAAACTGAAATAATATTTTAAAAAATCAGTTCTTTCTTAATTTCTTCTGTGGCCCTAATCCTCTCCCGTACATATCATAACTACTTATATTAATTATTAATCTAAAATTATATTTATTTTTTACTATTTTATTTTATTTTTTACATATTATATTTTTACATCTAAACAACGAGCCAATGCCTCCAATATAAAAAAAAAATCCCCAGGAAATGTGCGTAACTGGGAAATAAGTTTTTCACTAACCCAACAGAATGCCCTACACGTCTACATGGGTACGCAAATACTCAATCTGTAGTTGCTCTGTTCAAGTTTTCTTCAAGTAGGTTTACGTTCTTTTTTTCCCAGGGCTACCGCTTTCAAACGCATTTACGCAAACTGCGTAAGGCTATTGGCGGAGCTTTGTAGTTGGTTAGCCAAAAAAAAAAAAAAATGCACAGTTAAAGAGATGATCAGGAAAACGAGACGAAGAAAACCATCAGAGTTTAATTCAAGCTGGGAGCACAAGGACCCGCACAGTCAGTTTTGTAAGACCTGATTTTAACTTTGGCTCAGTGTGTTTTGTAGGAAGGAGTTAACTGCGGTTCTGAAGGATGAGGCAGATATGCAGAAATTCAGCGGTAGCTAGTTAGCTAGCTGGCTAGCATGTTAGCCTTTGCTAGCTTCTGTCAAGCTACGTTTCTCTGCTACATTTGTAGTTGATAACCTAATTTCCCGCTCAGCTGTTTCCAGCCATCTCTTCATACGGTTCATATCTTCTATTGCGATAACCGCGAGTCCTTTTAGCTGATGCATAAAGGTATATTTTAGACTTTGACTTGAAATTTGTTTCAATGAACCAAACATCTTCAGGCCAAGCACAAAAACTGCTGTGGCCTAAAAACCTAACTTCCTGTGCCATTCGGTTTCTGAGTAGCTTGGCTTAAACCAACGACATAAAAATATGTTTTTGCAGAATAAACAAGTTGTTTATGTCCGGTGTTAACAGCAGGCCTTTATAGTAGCCACACTGAGCTTTAATGTTATGGTGTTAAGCTAACAGAAGCTATTTGACCAAACTTGTCTTCTGGAAGCAAAAAAACAATAATCGCCGGGTTGATTTTTGAATTTAACAAATGTTGCAGTTTTAAATTGACTTTGACGCTTTCGTGTTTTTGTTTATGTAATAAGTTTCATTATGAGTAAGTAGGACGTCATAAAGGCCAGTGCATTGGAGTGTGAGTGGTAAACCAAGGCCATGTTGATGTGCACTATCTTCCCATAGTTCCTCTTAAAAGCCAATATAATGACAGATAAAAATGAATGCAAAGTGAGTTAATACAGGTTATTTTTCCCATCACCCCTCTTTCGCCTGCTGTAACTTTTCAATCTGCTGTTGCAGTGTGGCTCAGCGATTTGGGTCAGACTCTGAGCTTGTAGCAGGTTGTGGAGAGAAGACTTTGAGGTTTTGTGCAGGAAAGTAGGCGTAAGATAAACCAAATGTGAGAAACACATCAAACTGTCACTGCTTTAGTTTGATGGTGTCTGTTCAGTGGAGGCCATGATGTTAAAGACTAGATAAAAGCCAGGTAACCTAACCTATAGATACTGTCAGCAACAGACACTCATTATTACCATGTTTTATTAGAGTTAGCTGTGTTTTTACGCAACATTCAATCCATTTTGTTTGCTTTTTTTTAGTTGTAATCCTTATAGACCTAATAGTCGTTTCACAAAGCAAATTTACTGAAAGTTAGTAGATTGTGAAGGTTCACAACCCTTTTAAAGGGTGTAAAAAAACAGCAGATATTCAATTTTGTTAAATTTATTTGATATTTTATTGGATAATTGGCTTTGTTACTCTCATCTTATAGGAGTTTTCGTTTGCAGAAAGTGTTGTGATTACTTGAGAGCTTTAGATTCTGTTAAATGTTCAATATGCAGGATGCACAATCGTCGTCATATTTGATTTTTAGGTTCAACGTTTTGTTTCCTGAGGTTACAGTGTGTGGGAGTGAACGTGTCTAACCCATCCTCACTACCAGCTGTAGAGCACCATTGATTATTTGTTTTTCTGTGAGTTGCTCAATCTGACAGAGGCCACAGTGGGAGGGAGGAAAAAAAGGTAGGAAAAAAAGTCTGATTTGCTTTCAAGGGTATCTTCAACGACTAATATCTAACTAAGCTAAGCAGTTGTTTTTGTTTTTTTATTTAGATTCTGAAATTTGATTTTAGACTTTCTGCTAAGAAGGGAATTTTGTTCCATTTATCTTTTTGTGAATATCTGAAAAAAAGGAATTGCCATAGTTTTTTAATAAAAAAAAATGCTATTCAGAATGGAAACTCTTAAAAAATTAAAGTTTTAATAAATAAAAAAAACATTTTTAAAGGAAGTTTGCTGTTTTCATAGATTTTGTTATGTTTAATGCCTGTTTTTTTTTTTTTTGTCCAAATTTGCTTTTTTAAAGCAACCGAAACTTCCTTTACAGAATGTGAAGCCAGGTGAATCACACACTGGCTTTTGAAGTGTATTTGAAGTACAAGTGCCTAGTCATGTTATTTGACATTTTTTATTTCTTTTAAGCTAGTAACTTACTCTGGTTAAGCCAGGCATACACGCGATGTTTTCATTTGTTGCACGCAGCTACAGCTCAAACTAAACAATGAAACCGCAGGGTTTAAAAGTTCACAGCTCACGATTTTTGTTCTCACACTGTGCGACCTGACGCTCTGATGCGACCTACCTGCTCACTAGGGGTGTTAATAATAATAATTTTGTATCGATGCATCGAACCAACAGCCGACGGTCCGATGCATCGACACGTCTGCAAAAGTATCGATTCATGTTTTGTTTTTTTCTCCTGTCTATTTTTATCCTCTTGCTCCTGGTTGTAGTTCTGACTCCCATGCTGTGGTGGCGCTAAACCTATTTTGCCCTCCTACCTGGCTTCCTTTAGCCACTACTAGGGTTGTCACGATACTAAACTTTTTACCTCAATACCAATACTAAGGAAAATATTCAATACTCGATACCATTTTCGATACCACAAGGATAAAAACAAAGACTCCAAAATTCAACAGAAATTTTCATTATTAATAAAAATAAATAAATACAATAAACAATAAGAACAATATTTTGAGGTTGTATGCTGTGCACAATTTTATGAAATTGTGCACAGCATATCAAGCTTGTTAAAAATAATTTAAAGTAATAGTACACCCAAAACATGATTAGTCTTCATTTTCTACTCACCCCCCTGCTGAACAACACTCTGGAGTACTTTTTTGATATCTCAAATGCATCTGGAGATCTGGGAGGCTTGTTGCTGTCTGCTGACATTCAAATAATGGAGGTCTATGGCGTCCGAGGCAGAAAGGTCCATAAAAGTCCACAAAAAACGTGTCAATATTCCTCCATACTGCTCGTCCAATGTATTCCAAGTGTCCTGAGTGGGTAGCATCCAGAATTTACTCGAAACGAAGTCATTTAGAATGTTTTTAGAGCATAAACAGTAGTGTATAGGATTTCCTAAAAGCGCGCGCCTGCGCGTTCACGACGCTACGGAAGCCGGCAGACCAAACCAGATGAAAGTGCGCATTCAGCGTCTGCTCTGCCGATAATGCAAGCGTAGAAGAAGAAATGTGCTGTTTACCTGTGCAAAAAAAGAAACAACGAAATAAAAATGTCTGAGGACTTCAGTGTTGAGGAAGAGCATGAGTTCTTTGCCGAGCTGAATGCGCACTTTCATCTGGTTTGGTCTGCCGCGGTTTCCGTAGACTCGTGAACTCGCAGGCGCGCGCTTTCAGGAAATCCTATACACTACTGTTTATGCTCTAAAAACATTCTAAATGACTTCGTTTCGAGTAAATTCTGGATGCTACCCACTCAGGACACTTGGAATACATTGGACGAGCAGTATGGAGGAATATTGACACGTTTTTTGTGGACTTTTATGGACCTTTCTGCCTCGGGCGCCATAGACCTCCATTATTTGAATGTCAGCAGACAGCAAGAAGCCTCCCAGATCTCCAGATGCATTTGAGATATCAAAAAAGTACTCCAGAGTGTTGTTCAGCATGGGGGTGAGTAGAAAATGAAGGCTAATCATGTTTTGGGTGTACTATTCCTTTAAGCAAGCTTGATAAAAAACTTACAAAATTAAAATTAAGTTTTCCTTACTTAGCTATGCTTTGCACACATAGCAATGACACTAGCCAAACCAGTTAAGAAACAAAAGTAATTCTCAGCAGCTTCACCTGTTACAAAGAAAGTCTGAAACTGAAAAGAGCACAGAATTATTCAATCACACAGTGTTCAGAAAGTGCATTTTCCACTATTCTGCACTTTAGATGAATGACTGTTTAAGTGCCACTGGTGGTAGCACTGTATCGATACTTTTGAAAATGAGTATTGTATCCGGATACGTGTCAGTATTGATACTTTTTTGAGTATCGATACTTTTGACAACCCTAGCCACTACCCTCTTTCCGCATGGACACACACAGTCGCGTAAACAGTAGGCAAGACAGACATGGCGGCGATAGCCGAGGTGAAAGAAGAGGTGGACAAGACAGATGTGGCGGAGGAAAACGAAGTCGATGTATTCTTGAGTATTGAAAATAATCAAATCGTTTGGGTCAGGAAATCAATACTGAATTGAATCGCCATGATGGACTTGATTTACACCCCTACTGCTCGCAGTGTACATCCTAAAACCACACGTCAGACTCGGCGCCGAGAGAAGGCAGTGGTCGGACTCGTCATTCGGAAGAAGAATTCCCTTGTTTGCACATGCGCAATGCTCGAGGATCTGGTAAATCGGCTCGTAGCTCAGCTTCAACAGCAGGATTTATCCACGAAAACCTCACGACAGCCGACTGAATTTCCAACATCTTTGATTTTCTCCCGACCTTAAAATTCCTGATCGGGAGAGACTAATTGCCCCTCGTTACCCCCTGTGTACTACACGACACACAATGTATGATGAGGATGAAACTCGGCCCGATAGAAAAAATTCTCGCACGACTGTAGAATCGTACCGAAAAGGGCAAAAAAAAATCGTACAACGTATGCCCAGCTTTACATACAAAGTTCTTTCTGAAAGATTACCTAATCCTGCTGGCATATTATTTATTTTCTTGTTTTTTTTTTGCTTTATGTTTCCTGATTTATGTTAGTAAACAAAGCCCCACTTGTATATCTATAATTTAAAATAACAAAGCTTTGGTACAGAGTCTGTTTTAGTTATTTTGATTCCTCAAGTAGTTGAAAATTATTGAAATAATCGATTAAACTGATAAAGTTGGTTCATGTTACAAAGTGCCCTAAAACAGTGGTCTTTCGGACATTTTCCTGCATGTTTTCGACATGTCTAAACTAGGGCTGCAACAACGAATCGATAAAAATCGACTTTTAAAAGCGTTGGCAATGAATTTCATCATCGATTAGTTGTGTCGCGCGATTATTGCGTCATCCGCCGCGCCGTCATCACTGCCTCTTGACTGAAAGAGGAAGACAAAAAAATATGGCAGAGCGAGTCAGCGCCGC